TTGGTTAGTAATATCAAAAGAAATAATTTACTACCTTAGTGATGCATTCACTCAGATTCCATGTTACTGAGTCCTGTCTTGTTGAGCTGCAAAGAAACAAAAAAAACAAAATGAGACAGAAGAATGGGAATTTGAGGTGAATGGGCTACCCTGTCTGTATAAAATTTTACTCTACTTCAGGGCGTGAAATTAACTTTTTTTTCTGATAGCCACTTGGCTCCTAAATTCTTCAAAGTGGTAGCCAATTCAAAAAAAGTTGGTCGCCATTTTCAAAGACAAACAAAATCTTTCTTTAAGCTGTCAGCGTTCTAGATAGACCCTCCAAAATTAAGTTAGGGAAAAGATCTTTAACGTGCTACAAATTGGACACTAGGATGGATGATATACAACGTTCAGGCTCATCTTTGTTTACTAAACACTCTCCGTTGAGAAATCTAAGGGACAATCTGAAGCTATTCGTGCAACGCCCTAAAAGTGACTTCCGTCGATCTTCTTTTCCTCACCATGCGTCTGTTCTATGGAACAACTTACCCGTGTACTTGAAGAGCAAACCGAACATTGTTTCTTTCAAATCTGCTCTCAAAGCAAAATCCGACATTTTAGATAAAATAACATTTAATGGTTTACAGGGACTAAATAAAGACGTTGTAAATTACATATATTAAAGCTATTTTACTACTTTTATTTATTTTATTACTTTTTATTACTACTGTAAATCAACTGTATATTATATTACTAGGTCTTACATCCTTTCTTACTTACCATAATTTCGCAACTTGTTATTGTTATTATTTAAATTTTGTAGACACTCTTTAATTTTGTAGGTCCACATCAGCTTTTTAGCTGCCATTTATCGACCTACGTGACAAATAAAGTATGTATGTATGTATGTATGTATGTATCTAAATCCAAGATGGCGTCTAGTTATCGATCGAGATGCATGTGCTACGTTTTGGAAACAAACTTAACGAGGAAGTTTGCCGCGGATTTATCTTTGCAAATCTTTTTAATTCACTATATCTCTTGGTAAGGTTATGATGAAACGTTCTAGTCGCCAATTTGGCGACTAACTTTCAGGATTTGGTCGCCAAAGTGAAAAATTTAGTCGCATTGGCGCCTGTATTAGGCGCAATTTCACGCCCTGTGCTTCAAAGTTATCTGTCATGCATTATCAGGCTACAACAGATGAAACTAAATACCATAATAATCAGAATTATCACTAAACTCAACTTAAACCTTTACTTGAAAATACAATTCAACTGCAGTGAACATGTACTTTGCTTTTACTTTGACAACTGCTGTATGTTTAACCAACACATGCAAGTCACATTGAAGAAATTCATACCAGAAGCCATCTTCAGCATCTCCTCAACAAGAGCTCCACACTGTTTTTCCCAACTGTACTTCTCATTGTAACTTTCCCTCAGTAAATCAGCCACTTTCAGCCGTACTGTCCTTTTTAAGTCCCTGACTGTTTTAATTGCCTTGGACCACTCACTGATATCCTCTGACTCCACAATGGATGACGAACCACCAGCGACATCTGTCAAGGCTTCACCAAGTCCTGATGCACCATGTACCAGGATAGGGAGGCCAGATGACAAGGCTATAAGACCAAACATTCCGAATCCTTGATTACCAGAGGGCACAATGGCAAGGTCTGCTTCACAAAGCCACCTTTTCATTTCTTCTTCATCTTTTGGAGGGCTTCGAATGATCAGCTGATGTTTGGGCACACCACATTTATAAAATTCCTCAAGAAATCCCTTATGTTCTCCTTTAGCGGCACCAACCAAGATAATCTCATAGGATCTGTCCTTCAACTTAGCAACTGCTTCAGCAACAATTTCAAGTCCTTCTTTGTAAAAATACCTGGGGTGGCCATGTCCTGCCACCAGGATACGAAACTTTTTCCTATCAAAAAGGGTATGTGTGACATCAGTGAATTCGCTGAGTATACCTGGAGTTAACTCAAAAACTCTTTTCTCCTGATGAGAGAGGAATATGGAAAGTTCTTCAGCTATCTTTGGTCCTACAGCAACTGGAAGATCAGCCATTTCCATAATAGGTTGAACACTGCTTTGTCTCAGGAGTATTTCTTCTTCAATCTCATCCTGGGCATTTCCCAAACCCCAACTAACAAAAATGCTTTTGCAGTGGTGATGTTCCTTAAATATTTGCACCATTTTGCAAAGTCTCTCACCTACACCAATAACAATGTCTGTAGTGAGGCCTTTTGGTAGGAAGTACAGCCAGTCAGTGGGATCTTGGAATCCAGGTTGCTTTTTTGCTTCAACAATGGTAACATCAAAACTTTCAGCATTTCTCCTGTCAATTTCATCACATGAACCTTCAGGGATCAAGACAGAGACTTTCACATGAGGGAATTTTGCAAGTTGTTTCGAAAGCTCTGTTGTGAGGATTAATTTTCCTGAGTACAAACCCCAACCCTGCCCCCATTTATTTGCCAGGAAGGTAGCTCTGACTGGATTGCTGGAGGAATATCTTCCATTGCATGGCAGCTGATTAATTATTTGTTCAGCATAACTCTCTGCTGAAGCTTCCATCTGCAAAAGAGGAACAAATGGATATGTTTAATAAAACTGATGATACTTAAGGTCACTGATTGGGAGATCTCTGGACTGTTTGTACATGTATAAGCACTGTGTCCAACTGTCATGTTAAGCTCTTTACACTGTATTATTTACAGCTACAAATCATGCCATGATGTTACAAATATATTTTCATTGGTAATAACACCACAAAAATTTACACGGCTTTTATCAGTATGTACTGCGTCATGAAAAATGTGTTCTTTCAGAATGTCCCATATTAAAACATGGTTCCTGGTTTGCTACTTGTTTGGCAAGATTTTCTGCACAAGGTCTGCTGCTACAAAGGGGAAATATGTTTCAGAACTGATGACAAGTCAGCCAAACAGATTTCTTTCATGTTTACACATGTATCTAAATGCACATATATTTAACTATCATGTAAGCACATTCTAAAATTAATCCACACCAGCTCTTAACTGTAAAACATACATCTACATGTAAGTGACATATAAGGCTTAAAAATCTCACTTTCTTTTATACAACCATGTATACCCCAAAAAAGAGTTATCCTTCTGCTGGCCTTGGATGAGAGTAGTAGACACTTGCCCACTTGATACTACAAGTTTCCCTACATCAGGGAAATATGTTTCAAAACTGATGACAAGTCAGCCAGACAGATTTTTTTCATGTTTGCATATGTAAATGCACATATATTTACCTATTATGTGAGCACATTCTAAAATTAATCCAATTCAGCTCTTAACTGTAAAACATACATCTACATGTAAGTGACATATAGGGCATAAAAATCTCATTTTCTTTTATACAATCATGTGTACCTCCCAAAAAGTTTTTTTTCTAATGCGGGCCTAGGATGCAGAGGTGAAGAGTAGTGGACATTTGTCCTCTTCATACTTCCTAATTTATGTTTTTTAATCAGTTTTAGACATTGCATAAAATCATTGCATGTTTCATAGTTTCCATTAGATTGTTCATTACAGTAATCAAAACTTTGATATTTTACCATAAAAGGTTGGAAAATGCAATGAATGGGAAAATTATGTAACTAACTAACTTACCTCCAAAGGCGTAGGAGGAAAGAAGACTGGGGCTAATGGATTGAGCCTCACCTGAAATGCAATAAAACCAAACTTAGTTGTCACTTTGCTATGCTTTAATCAAACATATTTACCTCTTCATCACAGAGAAATAGGAAGCCACTTAACTTCTTGCCACAAAGGAAAATAGAATTTTAATCATATACAGGCCAGCCAATCAGCACGTATGAAAAGCACTTAGTCTACTTATTTCGCGTGTAGTTAATTACTCATATTACACTGTACCCTTTAACACTTGCTATCTTGAACAAGAAAAGAGATACAGCTTCTCTTTTACAGCCTGAAAAATCTTTGCACACACTATTGAAAATCTTTCAAGAATTCTCTAAATCATAAGTTACAGATAACAATTTGTAGTACAATATTTCGCTCAAGATTCCAAGGGGTTGCTTCAGACCTTCAAGTCTGTTTTCAAAAACGATGCCTTGTGGAACACTAAGAACTTAAACTTTAATACTGCCAAGATCTCACATCATTTTTGCTACCAAAATAAATCTCAAAAGAATACAGTAACACAACACTGGATAAAACAAACTAGTGGTACTGGTCAAGAAATCTACACCAAGTGATTTCCCAAATTTTGTTGGCAGCTCTTTCCTTAATTTGTATATTTGATGCTCAGGCTGACATTGATTGGTAGGACTGCACTCCTCCTTACTTATATTTTCCAAGCTCATCTAATTGATCTGTCTTTGCATGAGGCTCTCAAACACACTGTGATTAGTTGCTCTTTCTTCGATAGAGCATTAAAAGGTTCTTGGCTTTTATCAATATGTACTACTTCATGTCTTCTTTCAGAATGTCCCAGATTAAAACATGCTTTCTGCTTTGCTACAGTACTTGTTTGGCAAAACTTTCTGCACAAACTTTGCTGCTTCATCAGGGAAATATGTTTCAAAACTGATGACAAGTCAGCCAGACAGATTTTTTTCATGTTTGCATATGTAAATGCACATATATTTACCTATTATGTGAGCACATTCTAAAATTAATCCAATTCAGCTCTTAACTGTAAAACATACATCTACATGTAAGTGACATATAGGGCATAAAAATCTCATTTTCTTTTATACAATCATGTGTACCTCCCAAAAAGTTTTTTTTCTAATGCGGGCCTAGGATGCAGAGGTGAAGAGTAGTGGACATTTGTCCTCTTCATACTTCCTAATTTATGTTTTTTAATCAGTTTTAGACATTGCATAAAATCATTACATGTTTCATAGTTTCCATTAGATTGTTCATTACAGTATTCAAAACTTTGATATTTTACCATAAAAGGTTGGAAAATGCAATGAATGGGAAAATTATGTAACTAACTAACTTACCTCCAAAGGCGTAGGAGGAAAGAAGACTGGGGCTAATGGATTGAGCCTCACCTGAAATGCAATAAAACCAAACTTAGTTGTCACTTTGCTATGTTTTAATCAAACTTTATTTACCTCTTCATCACAGAAAAATAGGAAGCCACTTAACTTCTTGCCACAAAGGAAAATAGAATTTTAATTATATACAGGCCAGCCAATCAGCACGTATGAAAAGCACTTAGTCTACTTATTTCACGTGTAGTTAATTACTCATATTACACTGTACCCTTTAACACTTGCTATCTTGAACAAGAAAAGAGATACAGCTTCTCTTTTACAGCCTGAAAAATCTTTGCACACACTACTGAAAATCTTTCAAGAATTCTCTAAATCATAAGTTACAGATAACAATTTGTAGTACAATATTTCGCTCAAGATTCCAAGGGGTTGCTTCAGACCTTCAAGTCTGTTTTCAAAAACGATGCCTTGTGGAACACTAAGAACTTAAACTTTAATACTGCCAAGATCTCACATCATTTTTGCTACCAAAATAAATCTCAAAAGAATACAGTAACACAACACTGGATAAAACAAACTAGTGGTACTGGTCAAGAAATCTACACCAAGTGATTTCCCAAATTTTGTTGGCAGCTCTTTCCTTAATTTGTATATTTGATGCTCAGGCTGACATTGATTGGTAGGACTGCACTCCTCCTTACTTATATTTTCCAAGCTCATCTAATTGATCTGTCTTTGCATGAGGCTCTCAAACACACTGTGATTAGTTGCTCTTTCTTCAATAGAGCATTAAAAGGTTCTTGGCTTTTATCAATATGTACCACTTTGTGTCTTCTTTCAGAATGTCCCAGATTAAAACATGCTTTCTGCTTTGCTACAGTACTTGTTTGGTAAAACTTTCTGCACAAACTTTGCTACTTCATCAGGGAAATATGTTTCAAAACTGATGACAAGTCAGCCAGACAGATTTTTTTCATGTTTGCATATGTAAATCCCCATATATTTACCTATTATGTGAGCACATTCTAAAATTAATCCAATTCAGCTCTTAACTGTAAAACATACATCTACATGTAGGTGACATATAGGGCATAAAAATCTCATTTTCTTTTATACAATCATGTGTACCTCCCAAAAAGTTTTTTTTCTAATGCGGGCCTAGGATGCAGAGGTGAAGAGTAGTGGACATTTGTCCTCTTCATATTTCCTAATTTATGTTTTTTGATCAGTTTTAGACATTGCATAAAATCATTACATGTTTCATAGTTTCCATTAGATTGTTCATTACAGTATTCAAAACTTTGATATTTTACCATAAAAGGTTGGAAAATGCAATGAACGGTGAAATTATGTAACCTACTAACTTACCTCACCGTAAAGGGGCCACACCTGAAATGCAATCAAACCACACTTAGTTGTCACTTTGTTATGCTTGTCAATCAAACTTTATTTACCTCTTCATCACAGAGAAATAGGAAGCCACTTTGCTTCTCGCCACAGAGGAATATAGAATTATAATCATCTACAAGCCAGCCAAAGCGCATAGTCTACTTTTTTCACGTATAGTAAATTACACGTATTACGCGGTACCCTATAACTCTTACTATACTTGAGGAAAATATGGGATGCAGCTTCTCTTTTACGGCCCGAAAAATGTTTGCACATATTATTGAAAATCTTTCAAGAATTCTCTAAATTGTAAGTCACTGATAACAATTTTTGGTACGAAATTTTGTTCAAGATTCCGAGGTCTTGCCTGAGACCTTCAAGTCTGTTTTCGAAAACGATGTCTTAGGGAACAGTAAGAATTTAAGCTTTAATACTGCCAAGATCTCACATCATTTTCGCTACGAAGATAAATCTTAAAAGAATTCAGTAGCACAACGCTGGAGAAATAGCTAGTGGTGCTGGTCGAGAAATCTAAACTAAGTGATATCCCAAAATTTCAAAATTCTCTTACCGGTGGTAGTATATCGGAAAATAACTCATCCAACCGAGGCAATTTAGGAGGACTGTACTCCTCCTCGCTCATACTTTCCAAACTCATCCAATGGATCTATCTTGACATGTGGCTCTCAAATACATCCTTTATCACTGGGATTGGTTGGCCTTTCTCGATCCTATGGTTCAGCCATCGCGTCGGTTCACCCTAAGTTTACAAATCTCCTTCACATTCTTTCCAGTCTCGATCCCAGGCAAGTTAGGTTCCAAACTTCCACCTTGAAAACATTAGAACAGAATGGACTGGACTGAACTACATCACTCATCTAAAGCGGCAGTAAAGAAGAAGAAAACGTGAAGCCATTGACAAAATGAATTAGATTAATTTGGGCTCAACAAATATTAAAAACATTTAATGTGCTAAGACAAGCTAACAAACAAATACATACACAAACAAAGACCAAACTCCCGGGGAAACGAACCGTAAAAAAATACGATATGCTTTTACAGTCTTCGAGTCTTTGCTGTAACCCAGTCCTGCAGTGGACTGTACTAAGAACGTTTCCCCGCAAGGGATGCATGTAAGTAGCTCGCCTTCGAAACGAGAAACATAAAATCGGACGCATGTAAAATATGTTGTAAGCTTCTTGTCAAATTGATGGTTTCTAGTAAAACACCATTTCTGTCAATTCAGTGCCAAGTATAACGTCTCATTTTGCTAAAATTTTTGCTTTATCATTACAGAAACTTTACATAAGATCTAGCTCAAGTGAACAACTAACAGCCTCAGAACAGGTCTACTGTTTACAGAGTGGAACGAGCCGAGAAAGATTAGTTCCCGGCCCCAACTCTCTCGGCATTCGCTTCGTTGAACGGCAGACCAGTCGTCAAGTTTCGAATGTTGATGAAATCGCTTTCAGAAATACAACCTAAGTTAAGCTTTGTTAAGGTTAAAACTTGTGTTAGTGGAATCGATGATGCGAAAGACATAATTATTAATGGGCTATCAAAGGGCTTTTAATTATAAGTGGTTTCATGCCTTAAGAATTGCAAATTAAATCAGTCATTTTAATTAAAGGTCCTCTTGTACTTTGTGATAGACCTAACTATTAACCGACTTAAGCGTTTAGAAAAGTTTACAACAACGGCTTCTTAACTGAACTGATTTGTATAATATCAACTGAAATCGGTTACTAAAGGTCAATTCCTGGGTGGCGTAATTAAAATTGCTTTTGTCAGTCACTAATCATATCAGTCTCCTGCATAAAACGCCGTTGTCCCAGCGGATTTAGATCCCCTGGTCCAAATCCGCTAGCGGATATGATGAAGAACTGAGGCATGCTATATCTTCCATGAAAAATAATTTTAGGGGCAAGTTTGAGGATCAAGGAGAACAAGATTTGTACTCATGCCTCCAATTATTCGCTTAGCAGGGTCTTGTATCGGAGGACAATCTGACTTTGATGGAAGGGTTTCTGAGCCTGAAAGCGTCCAAGAAAAAGTCGTTAAAAGAAAAAAAATCAACAATTTAAAGAAAACCGCCAACAAGAGGCCAGTCCTGGAAAGGGAGAATCAGGTGTGACCGGCAGGGAACGTGACCTAGAGAAAGTTATGGCAATGTTGATAACGGAAAATTCACGTGTTGTCAATTTGCATGGAATTAGAGGAGTAGGCAAGAAGAAATTGGCAATGGAAATTGTTTCAAAATGGCCAGGGAGGAAATTCAAGGCCGATTTTAAAGAAATCACAGAGATGAAATACGTTCATTTTCACGTTTTAAACGCTATAGCACCCGACAAAAACGAAAATAAGCTCAGAAGCAAATCCAGTAGTTGAATTTATGCAACAGTTGAGGCAAGCAGAGCAACAAAGTGACATATTGCTGCTCCTTGATAACGTCGATAAATTTGCAGGAGGAGATGATGTAGCATTCACCTCCCTTAATGCCAATTTTGTGACGTTTCTGCAAGGACTTCTAGGTCCAAAGATTCTGAAGAATTTGTTGACATCAAGATCAACACTTCGTCGCGCAAAGTTAGCCAACATTGACAATTACGAAGTTATGGCCTTAGAGGAAGCTTCAACAAGTGTTCTTTTCCAAAATCAGAGAGTTGGCAGCGTTTGAGAGGATGAAATGGAGAAACTGCTGCAGATGTGAAAAGGGAATCCCCTCATCATTAAGGGAATGACAGCTGTCTTGAGGCAACAAATGGCCGATGACACCAGGATTCTGGAAACGATTAACCAGCCACTATCAGCCGAGCCACCAGGGTCGGAAATACCAGCAGCAGAGGAGAGTCGAGAGAGAGACGTATTTGACTCTGAAAAGGAAAGCATTGATAAAGAGCAAGAAAGCTGTTCAAGAAAAATGTTTTTCTTCTTGCCGAGTAAACAGTTAAAAGATTCTGCCATTACGATGTCACTGTTCTGCCGCTCTTTCTGTGTCGAAGCAGCAGCCGAAGTCCTTGGAGTGGACTCGTCAGAAGCTGTCATACAACAAGAAGGTCTCAGGAATAGTGAAGTGCTAACGGTAGACCCTGACGTGAAAGAACTCACCTATGACATCCACCCTCTGGTGCGAACATTTCTGAGAAACATTGGTAGTAACCAAAAGATGTTCGTCATAGTTAACGAGAAGGCAAAAGGCAGGTTTTATACATTCTTCATGTCTAAAATGGTAGACTTTTCAAGGCTTTTTGACAAAGACTACATGAATGCCTTCGATAATTTTGATCTTGACAAACCAAACTTTGAACTTGCTTTGGGTATTTCTTTCAAGTCAGACCATCTTCTTATCCCAAAAGAGCATCGTGAAAGTGTTAATCTTTTATCTCTTCGAGGCCATGCTTGACGAAAAAGCGAGAAAGAACATTTTTAATTGCTTGGCCGATAAGGTCGAGGATGATGGAAAGGAACGGGTAAAGTTTTATTACTTACCAGAAAAAAGTCTCAGTTTACGTAGGAAGTTTTTCTGGATACTTCGGTAGTGTAAGTAAGCTGTCGACGTTATGGGAAAACTAACAGATAAAACTGACTAAACTCGACTGACAACAACAATTTACTTGACTCTGGTGATGACCTAAGCTCAGGTTGTCGAAACTTCAGTCACCACTGCCGACAACAGTCCTTCTCAGGACTTCACCCACCCGGACGATTAGACCACACGATCAAAGCACCTCAGTGTAATGTGACCTTCTCGGTAAGGAGGTTATAGCCTTCTTATTTTGTTCTTATCTGTTTAAACTCCCAAAGAATCTTTCACGATGAAGGTATGACAAAGCTCTTTAATCTATCAATGGATGACATTAACTTGAACGGGTTTTTAGTTTTTTTCGTCTTGTCACGAGCGTGGGACAAAGAAAGAATTTTGACGGTTCCAATGAGGAATTGGACCTCAGACCTTCGGATTCCGCGCTCCAATACTCTACCACTAAGCCACAGAGACTCTCCTGTGAGCGTGGTCTATTTCGAAGTTCTTATGCGTTTTATTTTAGTGTGTATGATTGTACGATTTTTAACCGAGCAACCTCGCGAAATCTACCTAGCCAGTCTCCTTGCGGAACAAAGGTATCATTGACTTGCCAAAGGCGTTGTCCTTACATTGCCCAAGCATGCTACATTATTCTTGGAGGCTCAACATATTTTACGCTACTTAGATTTGGATTAATAGCGATTCTCTGAACTTTTTCCCGTTTTAACACTCACTCAGGAAGCCAAACAGAGCGGAACTTTGATGGGAACTGTAAAAGGATTCCTTTCTTTAGGAGCAAAAGGTAATTGATAAGGGAATACTTTGACCATAAGTCGCGCATATATTAGATAACGAAAGACACACGCGTTCTCTCGGAAACAATGGTTAAAAACGCTTGCATCAGTTATGCTTATCAAAAAACGTGGTCAAACAGGGTTTTTTTTATAAGAATACTTGCAGACGTTTTTTTTTTTAATAAGAATGCTTGCAGGCGTTTTTTTTTTAATAAGAATACTTGCAGTCGTTTTTAACTAATATGTCCGAGAGAACGTGAGTGTCTTTCGTTATTTATGAGTACAGTTGATGTTTTGTAAGGTTCGTCATTCCACGGGGCGTGGGCGAACAATGATTTACTGTTATTTGTTATTTAAATGTAGGATTTGCTTTTGATTGGTGAAATCTTTTTTTAAAAAAAAGACAATGTTATTTTAGAAACTGAACAAGTGTCTAGTGAGGACGATGACGATGACGATGAAGTTGACATTCCTTCCGATGATGATAATGCTGATGATGATGATCTCGATAGTAGCAGTGGTAGCGAAGAGATTCCAGAGGCTGGTGAGCAAGTCCAACAACTAACAATTCAAGAAGAAGATGGCGAAGAGTTAGAAAGTGAGCAGGCACAGGATCCAGATAGGATAAAGATACACGAGCAAGTGAAAATGAATGAGGCACCAGTAATCTTTCTAGCGAGTTGCAATTTGCCCCGTGGCGATCCCAGATATCTTTGCGCAAAAACGAGGATCCGATTAGTGACAAAAAGTGACCTATGTGGCTCTGTGTATTATCATTAAAAAAAAATTTTAAAAATAACGCACAGGGCCTGAGAAAGCTGTACGTCCGCCCTAGAGGTTAGCTGAAAGAAGAAAATAAGAGAGGGAAAGATCGGCAGTTACATGTCATGCCAAACTGTGTACTGCCGGTTTAGGTCGCGCCAGACGGCAAAATTGTTGGCTCTTGGGAAAGAAACAAGTTTGGACTCGTAACAAATTGATTTTATTTTTCTTAGTGCGTCTTTGCGCTCAGGTCAGATGGCTACTTTCTCAACCCTTTAACCCCCAAGATCTCATTAGTAATTCTCCTTACTGTCTGCCATATAGTTCTTGTGATGTTAGTATGGAGAATTTGGTATTGGATCAACTAATAATCCCGTAATTAATATTTTTCTTCATACTCATCACTTGTCTGCTTGATATTGTATTGATATTGTAAGGAGAAATTTTGTCTTGGTCACTCATGGGAGTTAAAGGGTTAAAGAGCGTACTGAGGGAAATTTTTCCCAATTTTGCTGGTTTAGATATACTGGACCTGAGCCTGGCAGTAAGTTTGCAATCCAGGAATTTTGACGGAAAAACTGAACCAAAGAGAAAGCGGTGTCGATGACATTATGGATTACAATT